CATTTCCTAATTTTATAATTTGTTTAATTAAAAATGTTCATAAAAGTAAATCTATTAATTAATGCTATTTAATATTTGATTTTCTCCAACAACGACAATATTAAAATAAAAATAATTTAATTTTTTAATAACTTATTTTTAGGAAAAAACATAAATTATAACACCTATTTTGTCTTAATTTTTTGGTAATTTAATTATATTGCTATTATCTATATTTTCTTTTTCGAATTAAATTTCGTTTTTCTCCTTATCAAAGTAAATTATTTGTACTTCTTTATTAACTCCCTTTAAATTTTATTTTTATTTTAAAATATTAGTATATTTTTGTTTACTATAAGCCTATTATCGAAAGTTAAATAAATATAATTTTAAATAAATTATAAATCCTATATTGTTAAAAGTAGTGGAATTTAGTAAAAATATGGGATTTAAATTGTATTTTCTTATTATTATTATTATCCGAAAAAGGAATACAAATTAATTAAAGGTAACTATTTTTATTTATATATATAAATAATCATATTATTTATTTAGGGTAAATGAAAATTACATTTAATTCAAAGTATTAATTAGAACAAAATTATTAAGCTTCCAATTTTAAGTTTTTTATTTTCAATTTAACATATTTAAGTTTATAAATTCCAATATTTTCTATATTATAATCTTATTTTATAATTAATTAACTATTTTAAATTAAAGTAAAGTTATTTAGTTTTATTTTAAAATCTACTTATTATTCATAATTTTCAAAATTTATAATAACTTCGAAATCTTTTAAATCAAATTCAAATATTTTTTTTATTTTTATTTTAATTCTATGTAATATATTATCTCTTTTATTTTATTTATTATAAAAACTTTAATAATTTTTATATTTTTACATTTTCTGTACTTTTAAACTTGATAATTTACACAATTTAATTCTATTTTATTTTATTTTATACTAAATTAATAATATATATATATATAAAACAATAAATTTAGGTTTTTTTATTTTAAATAAATAATAAAAATAAAGTAATATTTAAGTTTTACTAATTTATTGTTATCTTTAATAAGAATTTCAATTAATAAATTTCTTTAAATTTTATTTATTTTATTTATATTTAATAATTAGATAATAATATCTTTATATTATTCCATATTCATTTAATTCTAAAAAAATAAAAATAAAAAAAATATAAATTTTAATAATTAATTTTACTTTATAAAATTAAGACTTATATATTAATCCAATTGTAAATAGATTTTCCCATTTATTTTAATCAGGAATATTATCTTAATTTTCAATAATAAGTTTTTCTAAATCTTTATTATTTAAACTTCAAAAAAAAATTATATTTATATAGATATCTTTTTTAACAATAAGTACTTAATATCTTTGTATAAATATTAAAATTTAAGGAAATAAATAATATAATTAAATTATTTTTTAAACATTTTAAGTTTTCCGAAAATAGTAATCAAATCAATTGTCATTTAAGAATAATTATTGAAAAATTCATTAAAATTATCGAATTAAAAAGTTAATTAATTATTAGTATTATCATGTAAAATAGAAAACACTTTGTTTTATTTACCTGTTTTCTTCAATTAAACTTCATTTTGATTTTTAAAAAAGCATAAATCAAACTCTTCTTCTATAGTTTTAATCTTAAAAAGATCTAAAGAAATCTAAAAAAATATCTAAGAAACTTTATTCATAGAATTTATTTACAATTCTTTAAAGAAAGAGATATTAAATTAAATATCTTTGATATGTTTTTAATTATTTAAATTTAATTTTTCTTAATTCTAAAAATATTTAATTAATTAATCAACAGTTTAAATAATCCATATATTTTAAAATAAAATAGAGCTTTCATTATCTTCCATTTTACCAAAAACATTATATTTTATAAAATTAAAAAAATATTTTAACCTTTCAAAAGATTCCCATAATAAATTCATTTAAATCATTTAAATTAATATATTATGCATTAAAATTTAATTAAACTAAAAAAAATTTGCATTTTCAATTTCTTAATTTTAATAAATAATTATCGGCTATATATTTTTACTTTCATTTTATATATTTACCATTAATTTTTTTACTATATTTTTATTTAAAAAAAATAAAATAAAAATTAATGCATTAATTATATTTATGTATATATATATATATCTATATATATATATATATATTATATTATATATAAATAAATATTTTATATATACCATCAATTATATTCCTCATTATAGATTCTTATAAAGAATTATTAAATTTTTCATATTATTAAAGACTTTCTTGTTAAAAACCTAAAGATTTTAATAAATTGGAAAGGTTTTAAGTTTATTAGAATGATTAATTGTAATCCCAAGTATTTGATTTATATTTTTATTATTAACTTTCTACTATTTTCATTTCAAATTCAATTATTTAACGTTCTATTGAAGTTTTTAATGCGGTTTTTAAAAGTATTTCAAATTCTTTTTTACAATAGTTCGAGAAGTCAATAAAATCAATAAAGTTCTATTATTTTTTTCATATTTTAAATTAAATATATATACATATATATATAAACATATAAATACATAATCATAAATTAATTTAACAAAAATATTTTTGGAAAGTCCGAATTTTGTTTCTCCTTCATTAATAATTTGATTATTAATTTCAAGTATTTTTTCCTTTAAAACTTTTTAATTTTTTTCGATAGTTTAAATTCCTGGACAATATAAAATAAGGAAATTTTTTATTTTATTTTATTTCATTTTCAACAAAAAAATGCTTATTGTTTATTCAATTTTCTTTTTTATTTCTTTTATATTTAATTCTTCAATTAAAAGAATACATAAGAATTACTTTTAAAAGCTTATTTAATTTTCATCAAAAAGTTAATAATCTATTTATAATTTATTTATTCTAATGTTGATAAAAGTTTCTGTTGATATATCTATATTCTAAATTAATTAAAATTAATTCAATTATTGTAATTAATATTCTATTGATTTTTATTCACTGAAATATATTTATATGGGAATAGAAGGTATTTCCTATATTAATTATTCTATTTTTTAATCATTGTTATTTATAGCTAAAAAAAAATCATTTTACATTTATATATTTTTTTAATAATTTAAATTTAATATATTTATAAATAAAATTATTTTAATTAAATATTTTTTTTTTTTATTAAATTCTATTATTTTATTTATTTTAAAAAAATAATATGAATATATAGAAATGTATATAATTTCTTAAAATAAAATATTAGTATAAATAAAATTTATTTTATTATTTTCAAAATAAAAATATACAAATTTATTCCGAACAAAAAATTTAAAATATAAATATGCTTAGTAATGTTATAAAAATGTAAAACTTGTGAATTTAAACAATTTTAAAAATTATTAATTATATCTATAATTTAAATTAAAACTAATTATTATAAAATCTTTATTTAAAAATTCCTATAGATATTCTAATAAACGAAGTACTGAAAATAAAAAATATATTTAATATATAAATTTTTTTAAAAAAGATATCATATTTAATATACATATATATGTATTTATAATTTTATATTAAGAATCTTTAAAAATAAAATAAGATTTTAAGTAATTTTTAAATTTAGTCAATTAAATATAATATTTTTTAAATATATTTTATATTTTTCAAGTATTTAATTGAGTTTATATCTACCTAAACTTTAGACGAATTGTATAAATACAGATTATTTAAGGTAAAGTTAATTGTGAATTTTCGTTAAAGTAAAACGTCTAAAATTTTAATTGAAATATAAAAAAAAGGAATATAAGAATATTGATTCATTTAATTTTGTTTGTCAAACAAACATGATATGGAAAAGCCTAAAGTCAGTAATCATATTAAATTTACTAAATAAGAATATAAAATAATTTATTTTAAACAATAATATTATAATTGTATAAACTGCTTTGTATAATTAAATTGTTTGAAAGAAAAAAAGAAGAGGTTTTTTTATGATAAATGATTAATAAGAATAAGAAACACTTTAAAATAAAAAAGAAATTATATATAATTTAAATTATTTAAGAGATGTTAATTTCATAAATTGTAATCATTCAAATGACAAATTAAAATAATTTTTTGTTTTGTTTTTGTTTTTTTAATATTTTTATAGATTATAGTTTTTATTAATTTAATATTATAGATTTATAATTATTATTAATTAAAATATAAAAATAATTAAAAATTTTTTCGATTCTGGATTAAAAGATATTATTTTATTAATTTATTTTATGTTAAAAAGATTTTTTTATATTATTTATATTCATATATTATAGAATATTAAATAATAGTATAATAAGTTATATTAAAATATGATAATAATTTTTTTGAAATGATTTTATAAATTAATTAATTGACATATTTATTATATTAGAGTTATAATAATTATTATTATTATATTAATTATTTTCCTTTTTTATTTTTATTAACTATTATTATTATTTTTAATTTTCTTTTTTAATTAAAATAATAATTTATAATACAATTTTATTTAAGATTATTATTTTAAATTAAATATTAATTTGGGAAAAACTAATCTAAAATAAATTGTATTTTTTTTTTTTAATATAAATAAAAGAAGAAATTAAATATTAAACAAAACTAAAAACATATAAATAATTTTATATATTATGATATTTTTTTTTATAAAAAAAGATTAATATCCATTTTTTTATTTTAACAAAAATTAATTACAATAAAATAAAAATATCAAAAAAAAAAAAATTATATATATTATTATAATCATTAAATAATAGCTCTATCAACCCTTTCCTTTAATCCCACAATTCTATTAAAAACAATATTTTTTTATTAAAAATCACTATCTTTATCAACTATAAAAAATCCTAATCTTTCAAACTAAAAAACATCGCCTTCATTTACTTCAAAAGCTATTTTTTAATCAATTAGACATTATTAATATTTTTCTAAGCTTTTTTCATTTATATACTAAAAGAAATTTTCGTACAAAGAAGGATTTTCGACATTAAAAAGTTTATTAAAAATTCTAATTTCACATTTTGTACTTTTTTCAGGATCAATCCAATGAATTTATGCTTTTTATTTTCTCCTATATTTTTCTTCTATAGAAATTATTTTACATCTCGCCCTTTCTTCATCTACCTAAACTACTTATAATACACCTAAATATTTAAATGCTAATATCGAATCAGGGAAGATTCCATAAAAAGGAACACTTGTATTATTAGGTTTAGTTAATCTAACATCACTTTTATCTACAAAAAGAGTTTTTTATTTAACCTAATTCTCAAAAAATTCTCCATAATTATCAATAATTATTTCAAAAGGTTCGATAATAGCCATCGTTTTTGGAGTTTTCTAATAAAGAACATTCCTAGCAACCGATTCTAACAAAGAGACTTAAATAATATTTTCATTGCCAGTTCTAGAAACCTTAATTTGATCCAAAAACTAATTAATAATATCAGGAGAAAATCCTCTTCTTTTTAAGGCATTTAAAGTAAAAAGTCTTGGATCATCCCAGCCATTTACAATTTTTTTTTCCAAAAGTTAAATAAGTTTTCTTTTAGATACAATATTATGTGAAATATTCAATCTAGAAAATTCCCAAACAAACGGTTTATACATATCCAATTATTCTAAAAACCAATAATATAATTCCCTTCTAATTTCAAATTCTAAACTACATAAAGAATGTGTAATATTTTCAATTGAATCACATATGCAATGCGTAAAGTCATACATGGGATAAATTTTCCATTAATCCTTAGTTTTTGGGTGTGTTTTTTCCTTAAATCTATATATAATAGGATCTCTTAATGTCGGATTGGCATTTTTATAGTCTATTTTTGCTCTTAGTACTATATTTTTTTACTTTCCTTATTTCATTTCTTCGAACAATTTCAGGTTTTCCTCCACAGGTCTATTCTAATATGGAGAAGGTAATTTCTAATGCCTTTATTGTGCTATTTCTTCTTAAGAAAGTTGACAAATGTATGCTTTTTCCATTTTAATAAGCCTCAAAGCACACTCATAAAGTTAAGGAAAATAATCAGACGCAAAAGTGATTTTATAAGGTTAAAATCCAAACCATTTAACATTTTATTCTATTTCTTTAATATAAATATAGTTTTCAGTATCTGGATTAGTATCATCATATCTTAAATAACATATTCCTCCCAAAAATTAAGCGGAGAAAAAATTCGCTCTAATAGATTTTGCATGTCCCAAATGTAAAAATCCATTAGGTTCAGGTGGAAATCGAAAAACATATTTATATGGGAAGATTTCTTTAATGTGTTTTTAATAATTTTCCTTAGTATTAATTTATAAAGCTATTTCTCGTGTTTTTAATTAATTAATTTTTATTTTATGCCATATATTTATTTCGGTTTCTTCTTGTTATTATTAAATATATTTTTAATATTTTTCAGTTATTTGTTTTTCTGTATAATTTTTTAGGTTTTTTTTAAAAAATTTATAATTGATTTTTATGTATTTTCTTCTGTATTTAATAATGTTTCGTTTTTTTATATTTCCTATTTTATTTTTTCTAATAAATCTTCTTCTTCTTAATTTTTTTCGGGTTCTTAATTTTTTATTTTGTATAAAGAAATTTAATAGTCTAAATCAGAATTTGACTTTATTTATTTGTTTATTATCTTTTCTGCAAAATCGAATTTATATTATTCATTTGAAGGAATTATTTTTTGGGATAGATAAAGAAGAAGATTTGTGGTTTTTTTATTTTCAAATATTTAATTTCCATATTTAATTTAAAAATCATTAAAAGTACTTTTTAATTGTTTATTTTAATTAACTTAATCAATTAAATTTTAACTAATTCCTATTTTTTAAAGATTTTAAATTATAGAAAATTAATAATTTTTTAGTTTATTTAACATTTTATTTATATTTTTATAAATATTTTGGAGAAAAAGATATTTAATAAATATTTAATTAATAAATTAATAATAGTAAATGCAAATATATATAAAATATATATATATATATATATATATATATATTATTTTTCATTTATAACATTAATTGTTTTCAAAAAATCTTATTTATGATGCACCATTTTATATTAAAATATCGACAACATCATAATATTTATAAAAGTTAGCTTTATGTAAGGCTGTTTATCCAAAATTCTAAAAAAAAAAAGTAAATTAAACAAAAAACATTATTTTTAAAATATTTTTACATTAGTGTTATTAACATTAGCACCTCTACTTATTAAATATTAAACTATTTAGGTACTACCTACTTAAGAAGCTAAAATAAGAAAAGTATTTCCTTCTATATCTTTATGTTCTAAATTAATATTTAAATATTAATTAAGTATTTCTTCGAGCTATAAAAAAATAATAAATATAAATATATAGATAAAAAAATAAATGTTATATTATATTATATTAAATATTATATATATATATATATATATATATATATATATTAATATTTATTTTACTAGATAAATTTTATTTTCTTTAATAGCTTCAAAAATTTATTATTCTGGTGTTAATTATTATCTTTTTTATAATTATATAAATTTAGATCTTTTTATCATTTATTCTTTCTTCATATAAATCTTTATAAATTTTAATAAGAAAAATTAAAAATTTTTTTTTTTACATTATTATCTAAACTTATTTGAGAATGCTTATTCGAATAATCAGTATTTGGAGTAATAAATAATTATTTATTTATACTATTCTCAATAGTTTCTTCTGTATTATGTTATTTATTTACTTATGACTAACTAACAGTTAATTTGTTTTAAATTTCTAATGTATTTTAAAAATTAAAGTTTTTTTTAATTTCACTATTTTTACTATCCACTTAGTTAATTTTGTTCTAATTTTATGTGATTTCTTTAAATCTATAAAACATATTTATATATATATATAAATATTATATATATTACAATTCTATATTTTATTAAATATTATTTATATATATTTTTTTCTTCTTTCCCTAAAAAGATTAAGTTGATTTAAAGCTAGGAATTTTCTAATAATTAGTCCTTAAAAATTTAATTATAATAAAATAAAATTAATAAAAATACTCTTTTGAATTTTCTTATTAAAGACTTTTATAATTTTTAATATTTTCGTTTTTATCAGTTTATTGTCTATCTATGTTTGGTTCTGTTTTTTAAGGAAAAATTTATTCTTTAATTTATTTCTCACTAAATTTATGTGATGAAGAGTTATTACTTTTATTTGAAGAAACCATAGTTTTCATTTAAAGCACAATATTATTTTAACTATCTACATTAACAAGATTAGTATTATTATTGAGATTATAAATATCTTTATTATTATTATTGTTATTGTTATTATTATTATTATTATTATTATTAGTATTATTATTATTATTATTATTTATAATAAACGATGTTTTTCTTTTACTATTTTTACTTTCTAATTTTTGCCTTTATTAATTATTTTTTGTAATTGTTATAGATTTTCTTTATGTATTCTTTTTATTTTTTTTTAGTTCATTTTATATAAAAAAATTCTATAAAAAAACTGATTATCTAATGTTTTTTAAAAACTCGTTTTCTAATTCGTAATTTTCTTCTAATTTACCATATAAAATTTCCTTATTTTCTTTCTAAAATTAGCAACTATATAAAAAAATGCTTTTTTAATCTAATTTGTCAATCAATTAATTTATTATTTTAAATTTATTTTCTATATATATTTATTTAATTTTATTGAATTTTTATATAAAAATATTATTATTTTAATTTTTTTTAATTTTTTTGATATATAATATTTAAAACAAATTTACATTAGTTTTTTTTCTTTTCTAATTAAATAATTTATGTATCTTTTTTATATCTAATATTATTAAAAATGCTTTAAATAAATTTCTAATCAATACTAGAAAGTACGGGAATAATAATTTATTTCAATTTCTCAAACAAATTTTGACTCTCTTATATTTTTAATAAATTTAAATTGCCTCCTCCTATCAAAAGAGATTAAACTTCATTTTTATTATTAAACTAATCATCTTAAACCTACTCAAATTCTTAATTTTTTTCAAATAAAAAAAGCTGTTCTTCTTCCTCGTATTCCGAAAAATCATTAAAACTTTCCTATTGTATTTCTTCTTCTTAATCATCTTAAGAATTAACACTTTCAGTAGAGAAACTTTATTATTATTTTTATTAAATGTAATTCTCATTAATATATTCTTTTTGAAAATTATGTTCTAATTATTATTTATCATTAGAATCTTCATTTAAAAAAATACTTTTATCTTTTTCTTTCAAGTCCATAAAAATATTACCATTATTTAAATTAAAATAATTATTATTATCCAAAATAGGAATTCTAAAAATTATATATATAAAAAAAATTATAAAAAAAGAAATATAAAAAAATATATATTCATATATATATATATATATATTTATATATATATATATATTAAAATGCTCTTATTTATTCGATTAATCAATATTTTTCTCAAAATTAAAAATTTAGTATTTTTTAACATATTAAATGCAATTATAATTTGAAAATTAATATAAATCTAACTAATTATCCTCTAAATTTTATTATTATTATTGAAATTAATTATCTTCAGAAATTTATTAAGAATTAAGATTTGCAATTTTTATTTCATTTTCAAATTACTGTTCAATATTATTATTATTATTATTATTATTATTATTATTATTATTATTATTATTATTATTATTTTTAATTTTAATATCATTTTCATATTCATTTTCATTATTTTTATTAATAATATTATCTTTATTATTATTATTACTAGTATTGTTATTACTTTTATTATTTTCTTCTTAATAAACAAATTAAAATGTTTAACAATTATTATTGTTTTCTTATTTTTCTTTTACTTCATTTATTTCTGGTGGTTTTACTTTTATAACCAAAATTTAGCTTTATCTTTGATTTTTGTCTTCTTATTTATTATTTAATATTTCTTCTTTTTTATTAATAAAAACTTCTTATTTATTTTTTTCTTTCTTAATTTTTTATTATTTAACATTTTCAATTTTCTAATATTTTGTTTTTAAATACTAAATTATTTTATTGAATAAATTTTACATATTTTTTTATATAATAATATTTTATCCATTATTAAAATAATTTTAATTATTTTCTTATTTTTTCATTTCTTCTTTAAATTTTATTAACTTTTATCTGTTACTTATTTGATTTTAAAATTTAATTTTTTTTTAATCATAATATTCCTATTTATTTTTTTCCCAAAAAATATTTATTTTTTCTTTATTATTTCCATATAAATTTATTATTTTTTCATTCTAATTTTCTAGCATTTTTCTACTTCCAATTTTGCTTTTACTTTTTATTTGTTATTTTAAACTTTTTAATTAAGAGGAAGTTAAAATAGAATTTCTTTTAAACCTAATAAAATCTTTTTTCTAATTAACAAAAGAATGTCTAATCTCTTCTTATGTTATTATTATATTATTTTTTTCATTAAAAAAATCTTCTTCTTCTAATTTTTCTTCGTTTGGAGAAACTACATTTATTTATAATTTTTCTTTTTGGTTGCTTATAAAAATTCTTTTTTGGAAATTTCCTTAATCTATTTTTTATATATTTTAATCTTTTATTTATATATTTTTCTCTATTTTTTATATATTTTCCTCTATTTTATATATATTTTCCTCTCTTTTTTTATGTTCTATTTTTCTTTCATTTGATTTGATTTTTTCCTCTTTTTATTTTATTTTTTCTTCTTTTTATTCTTCATTATATTCGATTTTCTCATCTTTTTATTCTATTTTTTCTTCATATTATTCTTTTTTTTCCAATTTTTATTTCATTTTTTGATTAAATTATCTTTATTCTTCTACTTCATCTTCTTATTATTAACGTTTTTTATTATTAAAAATATTTTCTAATTATAAGTTTTCTTATTTTTCGATTTAAAAATTTATACCTAAAGCCGAGTTTTATCTTTATATTGAATTATCTGTTTTATTTAAAGAA